CATATTCATAGAAGTATACAAATAATAACAACAGCAATAAGAATATTTAATTCTCATAGTCTGTGCAATTCTTGAGTTACAGTAAATTTTAGTAACCTGCTTTACACTTATCACAGTGCTCACATTGGCGCTGTGACAAAAAAAAATTGTCAGTAAGAATCTGTCAGTCATAGAGCACTTAATGACTCATCACTAATATGAATGAATGAATTAATTAATTTATATAATATATTATAATGTCTATGATAATATAACTCAGTTGAACCAAATCTCTACACAAAACACTAAATGAAGCCACTAAAAGCATAATTTATGAGAAGAAAAATGCATTTTATGAATAAAATGTGTTGGATTTGTTGGATTGGTGGAAACAACAGGAATAATCCTAAATGGGGAAAACAGCTTAAACCAGCAAAGGCTTTAACCCTTAGTGGTTTAAGCTGTATTTTAGAGCAGGGCAAGGGCAAGAAATTTCAGTAGTTGGTTTTGAAATCAGGTCATCCTCATTAGCAAACAATCAATATAATTATGCATTATAATGTTCCTTGGTTTCTGGCCAAGATAGTAGTCTCCAATTTCAAACTCTCAAGCCTTTTGGATTGACAGTGGCACAACTATTATAGGTCTATAAAAATGCAGTTTGAGAGCAAATGTGCAGGTGTCTAATGCACATATTGATCAGAGGGCAGAGGAGGAATCGCTCACTGCTCGGCACACTATGACCCTGCAGTCAAACGCAGTTCCTCACTCATTCAAACTATCTATTGATCCTTCTGTGAACAGAGCACCACTACTTCCAGCTCACTCAAGTGTTGTGGAGGGTAGTTTGATTAATGCGATGGGGAATGTACTTAGGGAAATTCCCCCATTCTGACTATTTTTCATTGTGGCTGATGAGAAATTATTCCTGACCACAGATTTTACCGGGTTTACTCAGATTAATGATAAATGTTTTTCAGTTCCAATAATGCTGAACACTCTGCTGCAGATGGCTGTCAAGGGCAGAGATGTGGCATACATCAGACCCACAGGTTGTGTCAGCATTTTTCCCCCAAAGCTTTTTTCCATCACAGACAGTCAGAATTTTCATATATACTGTTCAGTGCTGCAAAGAAGGATTCCCCCACCCCCCTCTCTCTCTCTCTCTCTCTTTTTATTTATTTATTATTTTTTGTTCCGCAATATTCTGTGCATCATGTTACATTTCTGCTCAAAAAAGTTGGAGGCATTGGAAATCTGTTTTATTTATTTTTCTATTTAATTTTAATTTAGCAGACAATTTTATCCAAAGCGAATTACAGTGCATTCAGGCTATACATTTTTTACCAGTATGAAATTTAAATGTATTTAAATATAAAACAGAAAAATTATGATGTGAAATGAATTAGAAATATTTAAGATTCTGCACTATTTCTAGGTCACAAATCAATAAAAGTAAGTTTTTTGATTTGATAATGTGAATCTTTGTATAGACAGTCAGATGTTCTTCCACTGAAGATCAAGATGCTCTTTGGATCATCTCAAATCACACTGGAGAACTTGATCATCAGGTTTCATCGGTATAGAAAAAAGGAGACAAACAAAATACTAAGACATTCTAAAGTTCTAATTACTGTGCTGATACTATCATTTGAAATGAACAAAGATGTATTTAAAATAGAAAAATCCTAAACAGAAATAATTTAATTTGTGGTAAGCTGTATGTGGTATGAACGACGTGCATGCATTGTGTTTGATATTCACATCAGGTCTTCTTTGGTTTTTATTCCTTTATCTTGAAGTAAAGTCATGGAAATAAACTGTCTTCTTTCAGCTATCTCTCATGGTGCACCAACATAATTCACAGCTGGGCATCAACATCCAGAGGCAAACAGACTGCTTAAAGGGTTAGTTCACCCAAAAATGAAAATTAGCCCATAAATTACTCACCCTCAAGTGGTCCTAGGTGTATATGACTTTCTTCTTTCAGACGAATCCAGTCAGATTTAATGTAGCTTGTGCTCACTGTTGTACACTGGAAGCAGTTCCGAGGGAATGACGTAGAAGGTCAGCTTTGCGCATGTTCCGCTCAGAAGTGACGCACGTGGAAGCGCAGGGGAGAGATCAAAACTAAAGTAAGGAAACTTTGCTTCCTTTGCTCCTGTTAACATAAAGAAGAATGTCGGAGGAATTCGATGTAAGTCGAGAGGAGGCTGGGTTTTCTTTGCTAAAGTAAGGAAACTTTGCTTCCTTTGCTCCTGTTAACAAACGTTGGTTTTCACGAGACTCACCGGTGCATGCGCAGCGCTGACCCCATACCTCATCCGCCCAAACTGCTTCTGTGTACAACAGTGAACGCAAGCTACATTAAAGTGATTATTATGTTTTGAATATGGATATTTTTCTTACAAAAACACATCAATTCGCTACAGAAGGCCTTTGTTCACCCCCCGGAGCTGTGTGAGACACTTTTTTTTTATGGATGGGCGCATTTTATTTAACTGCTTTTGGACGGATGCATGCAACACCCGCTGAGTGCCATGAAACAGCTTGAAAGATCAAAGACAATTTTTAATATAACTCCGACTGGATTCGTCTGAAAGAAGAAAGTCATATACACCTAGGATGACTTGAGGATGAGTAATTTATGGGCTAATTTTCATTTTTTGGGTGAACTAACCCTTTAACCATAGCCATTATCTAGAGTCACTGCTTCCTTTTGAATTTGAATGCAGTTTATTGTATTATTTAGATGAATGATTCAGTGGTTGAACAAACATTAGGATTGGCTTTAAGGGTGGATGAATAGGAAAATAACGACCTAATTGGTTATTAGATCTAATGACTGGAGATTTGCATTAAGAGGTTTGCTGAACTGGAGTTTTGTTTTCATGAGCATGTTTGATTACCGTACTAAATGTCTCAGCACTGATCTAATGACATTACAGAGGCTTCCCTCAGAGGCTGATAGATTATGATGGGCACTGAGAGTAACACTGCAGAGGTGTTTAATGGGGATTCCCTGCCAGTGAGCTGATGCAAGTGAAGTGATAGTATATAGAACTGTCGTTTGCCGCTGCTAACATGCCCACACCAACACTTTTCTTACTTGTATCATGTATTTCAGTTTGGAGATGAGTGTGTGCATGTAGATACCTAGACAAATACTGCGAGAAAGGGATAGTTCACCCAAAAATCAGTTATGCACATGTTGTTCCAATCCTCTTTGATTTTCTTTCTTCTGTGGAACATAAAAGGAGATGTTTTGAAGAATGTTGGAAACCAAACAGTTTCAGATCCCACTGACTTCCATTATTATTATTACTATACAATGAAAGTGAATAAAAGTGGCTTCCAAAAATGACAAACGTACTATACAACTTTGATATGTCTGCGATTTGGTCTTCTGAAGTCATTCAGTACCTTTATGTGAGGAACACAAAGATATATTTTTAAGTCATTATACCTACACCAATAATCTCATCTGCTTGAGATCTTATTCTTCTTCGCATACATTACAGTATATTCTAATAATGTGTCATTGGTACATTAATAACAATGCGTCAAATTTGATATGCATAAGATTTGTGAGCTACGTCAACTTGAATTTTTCTCACACAAAGCAATCGTATACTAATGTAGCATCACATTCACTCTGTTTATTGCTGACACTGGATCGTGCATCTGCATAGGGACACTGAGGTTTCTGCAGAGCAGAACGTGAGCTGAATTGAATCATTATGTGGTTGATTTCCCCTAAACCCAACACTTCATTTAGTCAGAATATTGACATTTCCCCTGGCATCGATGTTTGTCTTTGTCAACGTAATGAGATCTAAAGTATCGCTTATTAGAATTGCTTCATTCAGAACATGTTTACTGTGGTTTGGCACAACAGACTGTTATTGTCCATTTATTTGTTGCATGTTGTGCACAGAATGTTACTTTACAATTGTTACAGTATCATTTGCATATATATATTTTCTTGAATTTGAGTATTTTCAGTATTTTGGTTAATTTTCAATACAAATGCTTATTTATTAATTTAAAAAGCTTATAAATGTTCATGTTGCTTCTGTTTGTAAAGAATGATGCCATATTTTATATTAAACCACATACCTTTCTCAATTTGTCAGATGGTGATTTGGTAGATATTATGCTATGCTTCATGTCTCAGAATACTATAATATAGTAGTTCCTGATTCACTGCAGATAGAGCAGGGCGCTGTGCAGATTTTCCACTGAACAAACAGGGACATCTAGTGCTCTCTTTTGGAAACTACTATATTGAACTGAGTCGAATGCCAGGATGTCACTTAGACACTCTTCATGTATTAACATTGTGGAATATCACATTCACACACATTCAGTGTTATAATATGCTCTGTAGTTGTTCTTTCTGTTGAGTCTTGTTATTTGCTTAGGGTATATAATGAGGCTCTGTCATGTTGATTATTACTCATTAGTGTATTTGTTTGTTTATGGTTGTGCTCACTGTATTCGGTATTACACTCATGTAATTTTAGTGCTTGAGCCAATAAGAGCTGACAGTTAAGGTCACGTGACCCAAGTCTATTTCAGACCCATTTATAAACACTGTAGACAACTACTCCATGAGAAAGAAAAAGCCCTTCAGCAAGAGAAAGAGACAGGGATAATGAATATGTGCATATGAGCTACAGTATGTGTTTGTTGTTGTCAAAAATAATCATTTCTTGCATAATCTCAGTCTGAGACTGTTTAATAGCTAGATGATGTACATTTTAAGTAGATACTAGAAGGGCTGTGTAGAATTTGGAATTGAGTAGAAAATGCAAATTCTATTCCAATTAATTTCCTCAGTAAAGTTTTGTCTTTGTTTTGCACTATCTTTAAAGGGTTTCCAAAATGCTGTTTATTATAAACTAAGCTGGTCATATAACACCATGTTCTAGTTTTATAGAAGAAAAAACACGTTATTTGCTACTGTTTATTTTTGAAAAACAGTCAAAAAATGTTTGTGTTTATTGATGTATTCACAGGGACCAGTGACCCATATGTGAAGTTTAAGATCGCAGGGAAAGAGGTTTTCCGCAGCAAAACAATCCACAAAAACCTGAACCCAGTATGGGATGAGAAAGTCAGTCTGCTGGTGGAAAGTTTGAGAGAGCCGCTCTATGTGAAGGTACATGATAAATCTACTGTATGCTGGCTTTACAGTCACAGTAACTCCTGCTTCTGCTCTTTGGTGTGTGAAGTGACATGCCTTACTTCCGGGTGTTTTCTTTCTTCTGCAGGTCTTTGACTATGACTTTGGGCTGCAGGATGATTTTATGGGCTCTGCATATCTCCATTTAGAGTCCCTGGAGCACCAAAGGTCCTCTGATGCTTTGTGACACACTGACGCATCTGAAACACAATCTCAAGTGTCACAATATTAATTAATTTACACTGCTGCCCTCTAGTGTTTATAAATATGTACAAACACATGACTGCTGTTGTTAGAAATGTAGAACACATAATGATTGATCGTGGCAGGATTTTGGTTGTTCATACTGTAGGTTCTCTCTCCCTTTTAGGACCTTGGATGTGACCCTTGACCTCAAAGATCCCCACTATCCCAACCATGACCTGGGTTCACTGGAACTGGCAGTCACACTTATTCCAAAAGAGGGAGACTTCAGGGCAGCAGTGAGTTTTCTTTGATTTACACAAAAAAATGTAAAGGTTTGTTTGTTTTAAAGATTTTTTTTCATACCTTTCTCAATTTGTCAGATGGTGATTTGGTAGATATTATGCTATGCTTCATGTCTCAGAATACTATAATATAGTAGTTCCTGATTCACTGCAGATAGAGCAGGGCGCTGTGCAGATTTTCCACTGAACAAACAGGGACATCTAGTGCTCTCTTTTGGAAACTACTATATTGAACTGAGTCGAATGCCAGGATGTCACTTAGACACTCTTCATGTATTAACATTGTGGAATATCACATTCACACACATTCAGTGTTATAATATGCTCTGTAGTTGTTCTTTCTGTTGAGTCTTGTTATTTGCTTAGGGTATATAATGAGGCTCTGTCATGTTGATTATTACTCATTAGTGTATTTGTTTATGGTTGTACTCACTGTATTCAGACTGCCTTTGGCTTCACACAGCACACTCATCCTCTCTCACTTTAGTGCTTGAGCCAATAAGGGCTGACAGTTAAGGTCACATGACCCAAGTCTCTTTGCCTCCACTTTTTCAGACCAATTTATACACACCATAGACAACTACTCCACAAGAAGGAAAAAGCCCTACAGCGAGAGAAAGAGGCTAGATAATGAATATGTGCATATGAGCAACAGTATATGTTTTTCAAAAATAACCTTTTTTTGCATCATCTCAGTCTGATAAGACTGATAACTAGATGATGTAGGATTTTAAGTAGTTAACAGAAGGGCTGTGTAGAATTTGGAATTGAGTGAAGAATGCAAATTCCAACTCATTTTCTCAGTGAAGTTTTATCTTTTTTGAAGTATTTTTAAAGGGTATCAAAATCACTGTTTATTATAAACTAAGCTGGTCTAATTTTGTAGAAGAAAAAACTTTATTTACCCAAGTTTCTCTTGAAAAATGTATTAATGTATTGTGTATTTTTTGTTGCATTTACAGGGACCAGTGACCCATATGTGAAGTTTAAAATCGCAGGGTTTCCGCAGCATTGATGTATTCACAGGGACCAGTGACCCATATGTGAAGTTTAAGATCGCAGGGAAAGAGGTTTTCCGCAGCAAAACAATCCACAAAAACCTGAACCCAGTATGGGATGAGAAAGTCAGTCTGCTGGTGGAAAGTTTGAGAGAGCCGCTCTATGTGAAGGTACATGATAAATCTACTGTATGCTGGCTTTACAGTCACAGTAACTCCTGCTTCTGCTCTTTGGTGTGTGAAGTGACATGCCTTACTTCCGGGTGTTTTCTTTCTTCTGCAGGTCTTTGACTATGACTTTGGGCTGCAGGATGATTTTATGGGCTCTGCATATCTCCATTTAGAGTCCCTGGAGCACCAAAGGTCCTCTGATGCTTTGTGACACACTGAGTAAGAAATGTAGAACCCAATGGCAGGATTTTGGTTGTTCATGCTGTAGGTTCTCCCTCCCCTTTAGGACCTTGGATGTGACCCTTGACCTCAAAGATCCCCACTATCCCAACCATGACCTGGGTTCACTGGAACTGGCAGTCACACTTATTCCAAAAGAGGGAGACTTCAGGGAAGCAGTGAGTTTTCTTTGATTTACACAAAAAAATGTAAAGGTTTGTTTGTTTTAAAGATTTTTTTTCAGCAAGCACACATTCAATTCTAATAATATTTGACAATTTTACTGTTTTTTATTTGTATTTTATTTTATTTATTGATTTAAAATCTTTCCAACTCAAACTTTTGAACAGTATAGGGTTTCATATAATACATGACTGCTGTTGTTAGAAATGTAGAACACATAATGATTGATCGTGGCAGGATTTTGGTTGTTCATACTGTAGGTTCTCTCTCCCTTTTAGGACCTTGGATGTGACCCTTGACCTCAAAGATCCCCACTATCCCAACCATGACCTGGGTTCACTGGAACTGGCAGTCACACTTATTCCAAAAGAGGGAGACTTCAGGGCAGCAGTGAGTTTTCTTTGATTTACACAAAAAAATGTAAAGGTTTGTTTGTTTTAAAGATTTTTTTTCAGCAAGCACACATGTTTTTTATTTGTATTTTATTTTATTTATTGATTTAAAATCTTTCCAACTCAAACTTTTGAACAGTATAGGGTTTCATATGGTTTCATATATTATGTCACCCATCTTATTGCAGTACAGAAGACTACAAATGTGTTCTCTGGTCTGGATGAGCCAGTGTCTGACCTGGAAAGGATTTCTATTGCATACATCTGAGAGAAATCGATTGTCTAGACTCTAGAGAATACGCTCAGTGTTGGCAGGTAGAATTTCAATGAGAGGAAAATGAGTATAGTTATCCATTAGCCAGCTAGTGCCCTAGCAAATGCACCATTAACATTGTTAATGCTCGGGCTTGCATACTGCTTACTTCATACAGTACCATATGCTACTATATACTTCTTTTATAAACTTTAGAAATTAAATTTTTGAAGCCGGATGAAAATGCAGTGCTAAATGTTAAATCGCGCAATAATATGCTACTTTGTTATCACATGACTTAATGTTGCATGTTTAGTAAGTAAGTGGAGTCTAGTTTTTAATCACAAATAAATATGGGTATTTTGTTTTCAAATCTAATTTTGTGTAAAAAATAAAATCTCTTCTTTTATTAACATGTATATAATAATATATATTTTGACAGCATATAGTTAGTGGAGAAAGGGATGCTAAAAATATAAAACATTATTTCTGGTTCCTTTACTACACCAGAAATGGAATGTCAAGTTGAAGCACATTGCACATATTAAACATGCTACAGTATACTGCAGAAATAGTGGAGTGTTATGTGTTATGCTATTCATAATATAGACTTTTTTTTTTTTTATTAAAAAATGGATCAACAACAATTACTTACTCTATAATGCAGTGACTTAACAAAGCTTTGAATGACAACATTTTCTTTGTTTTTGTGTGATTTAGTGGTTTTATTAGCTTTTAATGGCTCCTCCCCAACCATAGCTTCCCCGGGCTGCCTCCTTTTGACCCCTTGACTCTTCTGAACTGTATTCAGACAGGATGTCAGGTTCATCTCTGACACCCTGTTAGAGAGACCAAGGGGTGGCTTTATAACGCTTTATAATGTCTCATTCACAGACCATGCTTATGAGAAGGAGCTGGAAACGATCCAGTAAGGTAATAACAGCATGTCCCACCTGTACTGATCCTCCGCCTTCTGCAGTTCTCTGCTCAGACTGAAGGGGGCCGTGATCCCCAGTCCTTTTTTTTATTAAAATTTTTTTTTACCCTCACTTTTTTTGTTTCAGTTGTAAAATCGGCTTTTGCTGACTTTATTTTCTATGTGCTGCAATATACATGGTAAGAAACGCTGCCATCTAGTGTACAGATAAGAAAGTGCACCATTGTCAAGTGCAGGACCCCAAGTTGTTTTGCCTTAAAGGCTGAAATTTGCCATAAAAATCTGTTCCAGATACAAATTCAGGGCCACCGGAGTTTCATTTGTGTATTGCAGCAACTGACAGAGAAAATAAAGCATACTTTGTTTTTGTCATCTTCTTATTGCATCGACTGCACGGTGCATGTTCTGCAGTGTTCCCTGAGGAAATTTCGCACTTTATTGCTTTATAGACAAACAGGATGTGATCAGAGCAACCACTTTTATAACCTGGTAATTTTGCATATGTAATGCTATGAGTATACAAAGTTCTTTTCTTACCATGAAAATTGTGCATATTTTGCCCGATTTAATGCCTCATTTGAAGCATGATTATTTTATTTTATTTTATTTTATTTCTTGGTATTGTAGATTTTTGTGGTGGGTCTGTGCACAATAACTTTTTTTTTTTTAATTGTATTTGTTGCTGTTTATTTCAATGCTTTATCCATCCATCCAAGTGACAATGTTTCTGAATTTGATATTTTTGTATAACATATTTATTAAATATTAGAGTTATTATCATTAACTAAAACAAACACCATTAAACACATTTTTGTTAATTGAAATAAAGCTTAAATAAAATAAAATATGAACAGTAGATCAAAAACTTGGTAACTAAAATAAATTTAAGCTGAAGCACTTAAATCACTTCCTGTAAATAAATAAAATAAAACCAAAACATAAATTACTTTTATCTTAAATAAACATAAATTTAAACAACAAAGTCATATAAAAAAAACAATGAAATGAGAAAAGCAAAACAAAATATTACATTAAAATGAAACTGAAAATATAAAAATAATTCAAACATTTTTTAAATAATAATAAATTATATATAAGTAATACTAAAACAACACTAAAATATTTGAGTAGTAAATATTTCAAAGAATTCTCAAGAGAGCAGGTACTCTAATGGTGGTGGTGGTTTTTTGTTTGCGTAATTTTTTTAAATGTTAAGCTGTTCCTCATCAATCTCACTATTAATCTTTAAGTTGACGTTCTATTATAGGTTTTTATTTATTTTATAGTTTGTATTTTCTTCTTCCTTGTGTTGTGAATGGATTGTTTTGTATGAAAGTGGCATGTTGGCCCGGGATGGGAATAATGTACTCTCTTTGTCTCTGGTTCATGCATGCATGTGTACGGCAGACCTTTCTGTTGTCTGCTAAGTGTAAGTTTCAGTGATAATTTGTGGTCTTCAAGTGATCTCAGTTTAACACTAACACACAACCTAGTTGCATTGATTTGTGCTACTCAAGAGAACAAACTGCACAGCTCTCAGCTGCATGTTCCCAGCAGTGGTCAAGTATCTCCTGTTTTGCTTTGGCTAATGTTGGAGCCCAACTTTCAGAGAGGCCCAAAAACATGAAAGTGGCTCTCCAGCATGTGGATAAGGACGTCCTGCTGAAAGGCTTACCCCACCCAAGCCTTTGAAGCTCCAAAGTGGGCCATGTTGGCTGCGTCTCGGGAATTTAACAGTGCTACGATAACTACTTTTACACAGCTCGCGGTGCACACTTGGGTGTTTCTTCTATTTATACTCCCTATATATCTTTCATTTCCAAAATACTGTAAATGATGAGCTCTGTAGATGCAAATCAAGCGGGATTTGTAATTGATACATCTCTTAAATTAAGACTTCTGCTAGGATATATGAATATAAAAAAACTTCACCCTTAAGTGCATGTAAGAACAAAATTAATGCTAACACAGCTGTTAGTACTTGCACCCAGTTCTACTTTTTGAATCTACTTCATGGTTTTATGCTTTTTTCTGTTTTAACCATCATTTCACTGAGGAAATGCAGCCTTTTTAGACACAGTTAGTCAACATCAAAACAAAACGAGCTGCTTGTTTTTGGTCGGCATCATGGGCAAAGATCACATTAGAGCTCTGAATGCTCATGTTAACCCTCACACAAAAAGAGTAAGCTTACAGTTGTTGTGTACAGTCAGAGTATCACACTAATATCTGGAGAGAATGTCATTAGCTGCCTGCTTTTAACATCAAAGCTGTGTTTTTTCAGAACAGGTTTGCTCTGAGTTTAATAAAATGAATTTTAAGAAAAAAAGAAACACATTAATAAGTACTCCAAATTAAGCAAAGAGATATATGTTAAAATAGTTTGTTTGGCAAATGTCTTGCTCAGTTGAAGTTAACAGACCTCAGTTTCCAGATACTAAAAGACTGTATATGTTTGTAAGCTTTGGAGTCCTTGGGTGATCAAAAACTGCCCAGTTTATAATTCAAACTATACTGTATATTATTTATTACATAATACATATATATATATTACTAATTATACAGTAAGATCTCTCATTACTTGTAATTCATAAATGAATAATCATAAAATGTATATAATTTTAGTACTTGTTGTACTACATTTATTCTTGAAAAAAATTCAACAATAGCTTCATTTTCTATCCTGCAATTTTTTATTTTTACTTTACTTTTTTAGTGTCGTGAAATGACCTTAAACATTTATTTTCATGAGATTCGCCCTATTAGATAATGTAGACTGGATCTTAGAATAGGTTTAGTAGTTTTTTGCTGTTTATTTTATACATTGCTGTTCAAAAGTTTAGGGTCAGTTAGATTTTATTCAGCAAGGATGAATTCAATTGATCAAACGTGACAGTAAAGACATATGTAATGTTACAAAAGATTTCTATTTCAAATAAATGCTGTTCTATTGTACTTTCTATTCTCAGAACCACTGTTCTTTATACTTTATCATCCATAAAGAATCCTGAAAAAATATATATCACGTTTCCACAAAAACATTAATCAGCACAACATTGATAATAATGTTTCTCGAGTGGCAAATCAGCATATTAGAATGATTTCTGAAAGATCATATGACACTGGAGTAATGATGCTAAAAATTCAGCTTTGCTGTCACAGGAATAAATTACATTTTACTATATGTTAAAAGTAAAATAATAATAATAAAAAAAACATTTACCGTATTTTCAATTGTAGTAATATTTCACACTATTTACTGTTTTTACTGTGTTTTTTTACTGATGTCTTTCAGAAACGTTTAAAAATCTTGCCGACCCCAAAATTGTGCAAATGCGTGTATATTCACGTTTTACTCATGGAAAGTTTGTCTTTGCAGTGCCATGCATTCTCTGTGTGTGTGTTGTCCTATCACGTCCCCGAAATATGTGTCTTCCATGTTGCTGCAATTTGTTGCCGCACTATTTTTGCATCACATTTTTGACCACAAACACCTTGTCTGCCATTCAGCTTTAATTTCACTGACTTTCTCTTCACATTGGATTGTATCTTGCCTGACGTGAGTGTGTGTATGGGGGGGTGGGGGGTGTTTGTGTCACATTGCAGCATCAGAGTCTGAGGTTATCAGACGTTCACAGGAAGGCTCAGCTGTGGAGAGGCATCGTTAGCATTAGTCTCATCGAGGCCCATGACCTCCAGCCTATGGACGCCAATGGCTTAAGTGACCCTTATGTCAAATTCAGAATGGGACATCAAAAGTACAAAAGTAAGGTAGGGTCCACATGAGCTGTAATCAAGTTACTTGTTCATTTGGGACTTTTTCTTTCATGTAAGGCAAATTCTGATCAAGTGTGTTTCTTCTGTGCAGACGATACCAAAAACACTAAACCCCCAGTGGAGAGAGCAGTTTGACTTCCACTTGTATGATGAACAGGGCGGTTTCATTGACATCACCATCTGGGATAAAGATGCAGGGAAGAAAGATGACTTTATGGGCAGGTTGGTCACGTACTTGACTTTTATTGTGTATGTATGTGGAGTTTTGTTATTCTCACACTCTCATGGGTCCGAGGTGATTAATTATGGCTCATAATTACTGTAGCTTTTTGGCAACATGAGAATTAGATATTCACTGCGGTAATTGGATAACATTGTGCAGTTCAGAGTTTTCCAACCTGTCTTAAGTGTCACCATGCCTACTTATTTATTATTATGCTTATATGCTTATTGCTATTATTATGCTTCATAACATCGGTTTTCATCAGACTTCAAAAGGGTTACAAGATGATTTAAAATAAGAGAACACAAGCTTTAAAATAAACTAAAACACAAAGTCAAGTCAAGTTTATTTGTACAGCGCTTTTCACGATACAAATCATTGCAAAGCAACTTTACAGCAAATTAAGTTTCTACAATATTTAGTGGTAGCTTATCAGTGGTGACTGTCAATGAATGTACATATGGCAGAAATGTACGGAAAAATCAATTAAAGACGTAATAAAACAGACGATGAACACTATTAACAGCAATTATTATATGATGCAATCAAACTTATAGCAAAATGTGGTAGTTCTGTAACAATCAAGATGTAAACTGACATCATATATCTTATTTTAGTTTGTCCCCTCTACATCTCCCATGGTCTTGGAAAACCTGGATATATGAGGGAATTTTAAAAGTGTGATTTCATTCAAAATAAATACATCATTTTTACAATAAATATATACATTTTACTTGTAATGTTAAGCTCTAAAATATTTTAATGAGAGAATTTACCATTTGTGATTTAAAAATAAGTTTAAAAATGCCTTAATTTGTGATTAAGTTTCAATCAACTGCAATTTCATTCAAGTGGAAATTCATATAAATTCATTATATAACTTAATATTCTGTTATAGAGCTTTATATTCAGTTCTTGAATCTTAATTTAAATTTCATATAATTTAATATAATTTTTTAAGTATCTTAGTCTACATGGGGGTCCTTCTAATTGGGGGCCGTGGAGTCAAAAAAGGTGAGAACCACTACCTAATAGATTTATAGAGTAAAAACTGTTACTACAGTCCATGTCGAACAGAATGCAACTCCTCTCTGAAAGAAAAAATTATTGTTTTTCCTTTCTAAAAAGTAACCATTCCATTGGTATTCAGAAGTGCTTGTGATCTAAATGACAATATACAAGAGATGGAGAGTGTGCAATAATATTTGTATGGTAATCGCTAAAATCACTCCTAGTGATGAAATGGTATGTAGACTGATGCATTAATAAAAACCAAATTCTTTGTTTAGTGTTTTTAGGTTTTAATTGTAAAAGTGTATACTGTATACTGTATACTGTCTGTTTCATAGCCAATCATTAATGCAAAATAAACCCTGACAATGTGTTAAGGACCTCAGTGCAAAGCTCCTTTCCAAATAAATAAATAGACACAATGTATATGTATTTTTATTATGTAAGTGGAAAGAGACTGCACAGTGATGTTAGATACAATTTACCTGTATTTTGTTATTGACCAAATACTTATTTTCCACCATAATTTGCAAATAAATTCTTTAAAAATCCTACAATGTGATTTTCTGGATTTTTTTTCTCATTTTGTCTCTCATAGTTGAGGTATACCTATGATGAAAATTACAGGCCTCTCTCATCTTTTTAAGTGGGAGAACTTGCACAATTGGTGGCTGACTAAATACTTTTTTTCCCCACTGTATATATATATATATATATAAATACATAAATAAAAGTTTGACTGGTAAATGCTGCAATTGACCAATCAGAACCATAATTCTACAGAACTGTATAATAGGCCTACTATTAAATAACAGGTTTACTGTATGGTATGTTGCAGCTAAAGTAATTCATGCTTCAAACTGTCCTCTCATAGACAGTTCCTGTGTGTAAGTGAGAGAGGGAGAATGAGGGAAAGAGTTTGAGAATTGCAGCCTTTGACAAAACCCCATGAGGAGTGATTGACTGTAGAGTTAATGGCTGTGCGATGTGGGAACGAGGCAGCCAAGTTTACTTAGTTTCCTGTCCGTCCCCTACACCAGTCCTCCTGTTCATAGAGGTGGCATGTCAGGATCAGTCGGGTGGCATTCTTGTAATTGGCTATTTCTCTCCACTAAACGCTAATCTACTTGAGTCCTCCTCTGACCATGAGTTGTCCAGCGCTATCCAGCACTGATGTTCACATTAGTTACTCCATTCAGGATCAATTGAAGCTTTCCGTACCTGCATGATGTTCCTGTAGAGAAGAACACATTGTCACAGTGGGAACATGCAGTGGAATATTTATAGAGTATTTGCTGGGAACAAACTATATTCTAGTGCAATTATTCAGCCGTTTACTCTCTTGTGGTTTCTTTGTGCCTCATGCACTTTTTCTCTCTCGGTTTTCTTCTTTGTTGTTGGGGGAAGTTGAAAAAAAGTGATAAGTTACTTCTGACTTTTTAAAGATATTTGAATGTAACAGGATTGCTTTACCTATTATTAAGAGTAATCACATTAAAAGCGGTCTCATTTACAGTTCCAACATAATCTCATACTGATATAAACTGCTTGAATTATTATTGTTACTATATTATTATCTCATATAAATATTTTTTTTATTAATAGTAGTAGTAGTATACTGAAAAAATATATACATACACATAAATTAATATATAAATACATAAATAAATAATCTTATTGACCCCAATCTTTTGAACAGTATTGTACCTTTTCTTTTCTTTTCCTCTTAAATCATAATAAATAGTTAACATTCCAGTTTTGACTTGGAAATGAGCAAGTCATCACCTCTCACAATCAATACATAATGCAGCTGTTTTATCAAAGCAGCAAAAATCCATCAAAAATATTTAAACAAACTAATTTTATAATTGATAATTAATATTTTGGAGCAAAGCTATGTTGTGACAACCAGTTGCTTCCTCGACCAAAAACACCTGTTATGTCCACTACACATTTTAAACTTCACATTTACAGTGTTTGTGTTTATTGTACTGACATTTTTATCACAACCAAGTTTTTTTTATTATTATTAGTATACTTGTATAGATGAGTGTCAGTGAGGAGCTTAAGATCAAATAAGAGACGTGTGATTTCCAATCAAAGTGTAATTTTGTCAAATTATGCAAAAAGTTTAAAAATAACTTGTAAATGTGTATTTAAGATACATAAAATGCTAGCAATAGAATTAGCCTCAGCATAGAAGAGGAGACGGACAGTTTTATAAGATAAATGTATTTTCCATTAATGTTATTTCCATCATCAAAATGAAGGTTTTGAATTGTGGTGGAAATTACATTTGTTTAAGTGAAAAAGGGTCAGAAGTGCCCGCAGTTAAAGATACAGCCATTCAATGAACATTTTGTTTAGGTTTCTTTCTTTCTTTTCTGCTGTCTTTCTCTTGTCATGCATTTGAAATCCTGTAAGACAGCATGTGTTTGTGTAATGATGTTGATGATGATGATGGTGTTGTGTGTGTGTCAGGTGCCAGGTGGACCTCTCTCTTCTCTCAAAGGAGTGCACACACAGACTGGACCTGCCTCTGGAGGAGGGTGAGGGCTCACTGGTGCTGCTGGTCACGCTCACAGCCTCTGCTGCTGTCTCCATTTCTGACCTGTCCGTCAACATATTGGACGACCTCCACGAGAGGAAGGAGATTCTCCACAGATACGTAAGGACAAAGCTCTTATATTCAAAACACTTTGAGTGTGCCTACAGCCAACAAGAAATATGACTAGACAAACATGCTACATAGCATCTTAATGAAAATGTAAAAATGCATAACAGACTCTTGTTTTGTTGTTGAGAAAAACCAGTGGCCAGATTCAGGAAACATTCTTGAAATTCTTCTTAAACTGCTTTATTCTTATTTTCTATGTTAAGAATTAAGTTATGGACATGTTGTATTCTTTTGTATTTCCAAAAACATTTCATAAGAATGTTCTAACTTTTGTCCTCTTAAGCTTGTTCTAAAGTAAATGTTGAGAAGAGTTTGAATTCCTAAAAAGAATGTTCTTATAAATTTGTGTAAATAACCCCCCAAACAGTTGGTCATGATTACGTGTATGAAGTGACTTTTTTACAAAAATCAAATGTGTCCTTGTTTTTAATTTTATAATTACAAAATTTTGGTAGCATTCAGCACGTGAGAGTGCCCATAAAAAGGACTTCAGAAAGACAGACTTTGAAGTGTTTTCCATTGAGCTGTTTACTAAGTCTTCGACAAGAACCGCCATACAATCAGATAACAAAAATAGGATGTTCTTATGAAAATATTTGAGAATTTCTTAAGAATGTTCAAGAATTGCAATTAGGAACGCCCTTACAAACTTCTTAGAGTTTATCTTTAGAAACTTAACTTCTTTGTTGAGGAAGATTTTCATGAATGTGATCTATAGTTGTCTCGTCTTATTCTAAGTGTAGATGTTTTTGGTAAATTGTAACCATTTTTAAGATAAGTTTGGCTGTTTTTCGATAAATGTCACTATAGAGTCACATCTCTTGGCCTAAACTTTGTGTTAGTATGTCATCAGATGTAGTGCTCTGATAAAGTAGTGTATTGAAGTGTTCTCTCTCAGTGTATATGTGCCTCATATGCATAGACGGGGCTGAATTGCGTCTCAGTTGGCGCCGGGTTCTCAGACCTGGCAGAACCTCAGTGATATGACCTCCTTTTGAAAAGCGCTCAACCTCTGGGGGCCAGAGATTGGTTCAGGCCTGTAGAGAGAAGGATCGGGCCTCCCCGCTCTCTGAGGAAAGGGAGAGAGGAGCTGATTGGGATAGAGAGCTGTGAAGGAGAGCAGTAGTGGGGGGCTGTGACAGGCTCTTTTCAGGCAGGGTGTGCTCTTGAAAGGCCCGGGCTGAAAGGAGCCCAGTGTCCCTATGCGGAGGCCCTTGGCCCATCATGGCCCCGAGGCCCTCCAGTCCTCACTCTAGCACAATGCTCCCAGCCTCTCGCTTTGTCTTTAGCCTGTTAACCCTTCGTTCGCTGCTATTTGCGGCTCTCTGCCACCTCTTTACATGCCAATAGAAAGGGACAGAGCTGAAACAAAAGGGCCACTTTTTGTTCACACTCGATACAGCTGCTCTCGGGGGTAATGCGACTGAAGAAGCTCCTGAATCGTGACTGTTTTAAGAGGCCCAACGTGTTTAGGTTTGTTTCAGCGCGTTTCGCTAACCTGGTTCTTGGCAAAACAGGTTTGTGCGCAATACTTTGCTCTAATTGAAGTGGGAAGTCATGCTGGGAGATGTGTTTGATCTTCGGTTAAGTACTGGTGGAAAACACTCCACAGGCCAAACGGCGGACAGGTGACCTACATAACCGTGCGAATAACGGGTTAGCAGCGTCGTGCTCTTCGATGCCATCTTGTCACCCCACGTCCACTAGGGGGAGCTGTTGGACCAGAATTGTAAAGCGTAATATGCGTCTCCTGACAAGAAAGGGGGGAAAGATGGGGTACTGGTCGCTGAGATGGGAGGGGCTGGTGTGCAAAATGAAAAGAAAAGCTATTTCACCTTGCCCAACACCAGTCTTTTTTTTTCTTTTCTGGTGGTAAAGGATAGATGTTTCGCTCCCTCGTTCCCCACCCGCTCCCCCACCTTGTACTCTGCATCCAGGCATTCATTAGCACCCTAGCCTGCAGTCCGATAGGGACAGATATGCTCAAGAAAAGATGGGGGGGGGGGGGGGATGGGACAGTGGATAAAAAAAGGACATTCATTTGTCCATACTATTAGCATATTCCCGGTTCCCTTCTTGACACCCATTCACAGAAGTGAATTTAATAAAGATGTACCTTATCAAGCGTGGCAGATAACAGAAAATGCCGGTGTTAGCGCCGCACAATACGCCTTAAACAGATTAGCTCGGGCAAAGTGGTAGTCCACCCACATTCAAGATAGACAGGGCCACTGCGAGAGTATGGGCTTCCAACGTTTTCCTCCTCTCTATCAGTGTATGATCAGCTGTCTGAGGATAACACGAGTTGCGGCGCAAAACGCCCATAACTAGTTATCAACGCTTGGTGTTAAAGTGCCAGGAGACTGCCGACGTCCTCCAAACAAATAAAGTGTTTAAGAGCGGGAGGTTGGGGGTAGAGACTGGGTGCTGGAGGTATAGAGATGCTGTGAAACTGCAGATGCTCCCAACTTAAACTGCGGCTGTCCTCACTTGCCGTGGATGGGGGTTGAGAGGGTGGGGGGGGTTTGCACAGAATGCAATTAAGTATTTTAATGCAGCATTGCACCAGCCTCAGATACATCATTAAAGTGGAGGAGGCATATCAGATGACTTTCAGCGCTTTGCGTATAGGGTGTGTGGGCCTGGGAGCCTTGTTAAGGTGTGTTAATGGCAGAGAATGAAGAATTGTCGTCTACCTGTCATTCAGCACGTCATGTCACATCTCCAACTCTTTAATTTACTTCACAAGCGTTACAACATGACATAGGTAAAAACTCATGTAAGTTTTTATTTTTAAGTAAACAAATCTGCCTAAAGTTGAGTTAGCTTTATCTTTCTGTGTGCGCACAATAAATGTATAAGACTGATAAAAGCTGGTAAGACTTTACAGAAGGTTGTATATGTAGAATTAAGGCAATAGTTAAAAATGAAAAATACTTTATTAACTTTTTATTTACATAAAAAATAGTAATTGATGAGCTAACATAATATATTAATAGTAATAATTAATCATATTTTTTTACATTTAACTAATAATTGTCAAACTAACAATGAACAATAGAATAATAATACATTATTTATACATATTAATTTATAAAAACTATTCATTGACATCAATTTACAATGAACAATGAGTTAGTATAATTCTAATGAAATAGTAATAATAATTATTATTATTTAATTTAATCATTAAGTCATAATAATAAATGTGAATTAATATGTGTGTATATATATATATATATAATATATGTAAGTCTTTGTGCTTCTGAAAAATTTTAGAACTTATATCTCTTTTCTATTCATAGATTTGCATTTAATCAGATTCTTTTAGTCATTCTCGATTTAAAAAAAATGAAAAAGATGAGCCTCAAATACGATTGCATCTTCATTGGAGCTCATTGATCTCAGTCTTTAAACAGTTATTTCTCAATATTCCCAGAGAGGAGGACTGTATCTCCGCTTCACAGCTGTTGTTGTAAGCAGAGCGAAATTATGCATTTTAATAGTAGCCGGGCGAGTGCGGGCGACTCGTGTGTAATGGACGTTAATGGGCATCAGGGCCAGGGTGACCTCTGTTGAAGTGGAGGCGCACAGTTCCTCTCTGGCCCTGTCACTCGCTTCCAAATCAAAATGTGAACAAGAACAGCAATGTGTGTGTGTAAGGACGGGAAGTAGGAGGAAAAGAGTGAGAGAGCAGCAAAAGAGGGAGGCAGGGAAGAGGGGGGTGGAAGCTGTTAGCATTCCATTTTTATTATGACATTTCACAGTCATCCGATTTAATGTCCCCTGACCGGATTGTCCGGCTGGAGACGGTGGGCTTGAAATGTTATTTAGAGCATTGATAAAAGGTGAGCGCCTGCGAGATGACAGCGAGTCATAAGGCTCTGCGCGGTGACATTCATTTTCTCCACAACAGAGATGGAATAAGACGTCATGGTGACAAGCTGTCACTCAAGACACAGCCCTGCCATCTCACACCTCCCCTTCTCTCGCTTTTCGGTCCCTACTGTCTGGTTGGGGGTTAGAAGGGGCTCTGAGTGTGTGTGTGCGCAAGTGCTTATGCGCTACCTCTTTCCTGTAATGGGACTAAACTGCTCTTCTCCTCGGCGTACCATATGAGTTGGCCTTGCCTTGCCGAAATATATTCTTCAGCCTTTCATTAAAAAAATAAAGAGGCCTCATCTCCTGAGCTTTTCAATCTCCTTGCCTGTCTTTTGAGGGGTCTGAAAAGCCAGCACCCTTTGCAAATCTGAAATTCCTCTGCTATGGAAATGCACCAGTTCCCTCCCCAAAAAATCTGTCACTTTTCTTCAAGGCTGCAATAATCACAAATAACAAGCCCTTGATATCTACTGAGAAATCATGGATTGAATGTATGTGAAAAAAAAAAAATTTCCCCCTCAATCATCACCTCCCCCCCTCCACTCGTTTGCTATCAGAGGATTTTCAACAATAATATCGTTCATAACAGGCAAAGCCAGTCCGAGTGTATAATGAATTAAGTCTGCAGCCTGGCCCGACTTGAGAAATTCAAATTATAATTATTCCTCTGGGTATGTGTAGGGCTTATTGCCAAAAAGTGAATTAAAGTGAAGTCTCCAGTGCTTTTGACGGCACACCAGTGAGATTGTGTCATCTCTGTCAGTCCAGCTCCATTCACTCGCATTTGAAAGTGTCTGTCTGGAAATGTCACAAGAGTTTCTTCGACTTTTACTGTGGTTCATATAGAGGGCAGAGATGTACAGACATATTTTATTTAATCTAACGGACAACTTTCCATTTCTGTGCATTTATTAGGCACACTTGCACGAAAGTTTTATTTCTCAGAGGTTGCTCTTTTATAGCTCAGGAGACTTCTAAGCTTCGTTTAATTTAAATTACTTAGGAAAAATAAAAATAAACAATTAAGATATTTGTTAGCATAAGAGAGCTTTACAATTTTTAATATTAGAGCTATTAAATACAATGTTATTTTAGAAAAAAATAGATTC